ACTTAACACCCTGCAACTAACATGCCCTCTTTGTCTCTATATACACATACACATAGACAGGCACACGTAAGTTTAAAAAAAGAGGTTTGTTCATTGTCTCTTTCTCCCTGCTCCACAAAGGCAGGACTTTTGTCTTTGTTTACTTATATATTTCAGTTACTTAGTCTTAGAACCTAGTCAACATTCAGATATTTCTAGAAAGATTGGCTTATGGCAAGCCTTGGAAGTCCATGTGGCCGCACTGAAAGTGAATAAAGCATATTTCCACTTTTAGGGAGCTTAAAATGTAAACAGACATAATAATAAGTGATAGCATTATTAATAATAATAACATTTGTTGAATTCTTCATTGAATTTTACTGTGTGCCACACAGTTTTAAGCACTTAACGCACTGACTCATTTAATATTTCCAATAAACCTATGAAATAGTTATTATTACAGATTAGGAAACTGAGGATAAATAATTTGAGATTTTATCAGTAGTGGTTAGCAAGGATTAGGCTCTAGAGAATGTGCCGTTGGAGTCAGAAATCTTAACCACTCCATTGTAATGTTCTTAGAACTAAATGAGTTGACATATGTAAGTTGCTTAAAATAATGTTTGGCACAAGGGGCGGTTTATCTAAGTTTTATCTATTGTTGGGAGTCATTATTTTTAATACTTCAGAGTTCTTCAGAATATAGTCACAATGACGTGAAAATAGTCATTGGCCACTTAAGAAGCTATTCCTCATTCAATTATCTTTTCTAAGTGTCTCAGGATAATCAACAAAATTGATTTTCTTTGTGAAAATAATGAATCAGTTGCAAATCCTACAAAATATGTAGGATTTCATCAGTTATGTGAATGGGTGTCTGATATTTAGACTAATAAACAAATAAAGAGTTGAGAGAAGATACAGAAGTTGCTTTTAAAGAATTTGAATACAAGGATTAAGAGAGACTCATGGGGAAATTGGTGAAAGAGACCTTTGAGATTTTTATCAATTTTACTTTATACTATAAAAAGATCAAATGTTAAATGATGTCCTACAAAGTTTCTATATTACCAGAAACCTCTAAATTAATATTTCTTGCATTCTTTGTTCAAGAGATAGTTATAAATTAAACTTTATTGTGTTAAATTTATTTAAATATTTATAATTTTTTTAAAGATGAAATCCAATGAAAAGTTTTAGATTTCCTATTTATGATGAAATGTTGGCCCCTATTTTAATGGTTTCACGTTAGGGTCTTATTTTTTTCCTCTAGAAAATAAGAGAAATTTTTCAAAGAAAACGTCAGATTTAGACATAAGTTTAGTCATTTTTTATGCTGAAATTACTGGGGTTTTTTTTTCTGCATAAGTTATTTGTTACATAATTATAAGTTCCAAAAATCCATTTAAAAATCTAGCCTCAATTTAGAGCTTTTTTCAAATATAAATAGTTTGACATTTTGGGCAAAAATCTCCTTTCTGCATGTTTGCCCAATATACAGGTTAGATAGAAGTTCTCAAAAGGTCTAGACATCAGTCTTGTGGAGTTAGTAACTTGAGCTAAGTGTTATGTTCATTATAGCTGTTAAATTAAAACTTGTATTTAACTTGAACATACAAAGATATGGCTTACTTGTTTTAACTGTGTAGAGATCATAATACCTATCATAGAGCACTTAAAAACCAGTTTAATACAGTAATCTGGTTAAACCCCAGTGCTCTTAGATTTTAAAATGCAGTAAAAGTTGTCTTAAAGTTTCTAATTAGCATGCTCAATCATAAAATAAGAATCGGCCCTTTTTCGTAAAGTATAGGTCTGTTTGAAATTGAACTTACCACATGATGATATTGTTTTTGCTATATTCCAGCACAAGAGTCTGACCTATACTTTTGATTAGTTGGAAAGAAAAATCCTCCATGTTGTTTTATATCATATTACTATACTTTATGGCATGATGGAGCCATTGTTTTCCATTTAGACTTAAACAGATGTTCAGTTATTAACTTTAAATCCACCCATAGTAAAGAAAAAAAGAACATTAAAATTGTAAAACTCTAGATGATATAATAAATCATCAGGTCTAAATGGTAGAGTTAGAGTTATAATGATTATCTGGCTCAATTGTCTGTACATATAGTAAAACTATGTCCAAAGAGATGAAATGAGTTGTATGAAGTCATATCGGTTAAATCCCTCCCAGATAGCCAGCTTCCTGAGGTACTGAGAAAAATTCAGATTTACTCTTTCTGAATCATCAACTAAGACAGTGTTTATAGTAAGATAGGAAGGAGGACAGAAAGAGGCTTCATGAAGCTTGATTTGTATCCGTCATGTGCTGGGGATGTCTTCTTGGTCTCTGTCTTAATGGAGCTTATGTTCTGTTGGGGGGTCCCACTCTGCCGTGATACAGTCGATGATAAAAGAGGAGGAATTAAGGGCGATCATGATTTCGTTTTTGGTGTGCTCCATTGGAAGGCAATTCCAGAGATAGGAAACACTGGAGGAGGAGCTGAGTTAGTACTGAGTTCTTGGTTGGGAGGATGATGGGCAAGAGAATGAAAAGGAATGCATTAGGTTGGAAGTTTGAGTTTCAGCCCTATAGGAATTAAAGTGGACGTGTTCAATAGGTAGTTGAAAATAATGAGAGTGTAGTTAAGATGGCTGGAGAAATGGATTTGATAATCACTGACTAATTTGTAGAAGTGGGTTGAGGCTATAGGACTAGATTAGTTCTCTCAGGTGAAAAGAAAAGGTGACCAAAGATGGGATGATGGGGGAAAACCTCCAGTATAAGGCTTGCATGGAGTAGGAACAATTGTCACAGAATAAGGAACAAAGGAGATAGTTACATCCTTATAAAACCAGAAGAGATTATTTTCAAAGAGGTTGTAGGCAGGTAAACTATAGTTTGTGGCACAAGTAGATCATATTTCTGGATCAAATAAGATGAGGGCTGAAAAGAGGCTAGCTAATTCCATTTGGCAATTTGGAAAAGCATTGATGATTCTGAGTCAGACAGCCCAAGTATTTGGAAACAAGTTTTATCGAGAATTAAAATAGAGGTCAACAAATACTGAATAAGATATCTGTAAATATAACTGACCCTAACAAATGGTCTGTTGTCTAATTAAGAAGACACCACAATGGCAATTGGCTATAGTCTCCGTATTGAAAGATACTTTGGCTACCAGGAGAAAGCATATAGAATCTTGAAAGTGAAGAACCAAAGAATAAATATTTTCTGTACTTAACTAGCACTTGGTCAGAATAAGTGGTGTTGGTATGGCTAGAGCAATATATATTCTGTTGTGAGATAAGCAGGGGTTTTCAGACTCTCGTATCACTTAAATGACTTCAGTGAGTCTTGAAGTCCCTCAGTAATAAAATCTGTGCTTTCTAATTAGAATTTTTTTCTATACCACATGGGAAAATTTTGGATGTTAAAAATAGAAATGAAGAAAAGACAGAGAATTCTTAAATGCATATTATGAAGTGAAAGAAGCAAGTCTGAAAGGCTGCATTCTTTGATTCCAGCTATATGACATTCTGGAAGAGGCAAAACTGCGGAGACAGTAAAAAGATGAGTGGTTGCCAGGGGTTAGGAGTAAGGAGGGGACTAATAGGTGGAGCATGGGGGATTTTTAGGGCAGTGAAACTATCCTGTGTACTATAATGGTGGATACATTATACATTTGTCAAAATCCATAGAACGTACAGCACCAAGAATGAACCCGAATATAAACTATGGACTTTGAGTGACGATGTGTTAATGTAGGTTCGTTGATTGTAACAAAAGTAGGATCTTGACCATGGAGGAGGCTGTGCTCATGTGCCGCAGGGAAAACATGGGAACTGGCTGTACCTTCTGATTGATTTTGCTATGAACTTAAACTGCTCTTAAAAATAAAGTCAATTTTTAAAAAAGAACCGAAGATTCATATTTCAGTTGTTCACCTATTCTGTACTGTCACACTTAAAAAAAATTTTTTTCCCTTTCTATCCTAGACCTGAAAGGCTATTCAGAGGAGTTAGAAATCTGAAAAAATGAATTTGACTTTGACATTTTGTAATGTAAAAGGGAAATCATGGATATTAGGACAAGAAGAAAACTCAGGTCAAATTCCAGTTTATTTCCGGCTAACTAGAATCTTAAAATACTCAAAAAACTTTGAACAAATAAATTTTTCCTAAAACACAACCATACACACACATCATAGATTTGTTATTGGGCATTCTGACATTTTTTATAACATTTGACACTAGGGTCAATCATTCAGCAAAATTATTAAGTGTTTTATCTCTACCATAAAACAAAAAGATAATCATTGACCTTCTCTTATGAGTTTATAATCTAGAAGACACTGAACGGCTTGGTTTAAGTGTCACTTCTTCAGAAAGATCTTCTCCAGCCCTTCAGTCTAAGCCTCTTGTTACTCATCCTCATAGCACTTGTCTCTTCTTTCAAATAGCAGTTATTATTATTTCAAGTTACAGTTTATATAAATAATTTGGGCATTCATTCTGTCTAATTTCTCTAGCTATACTACACTGTAGGAAGGAAGCATATTGGTTTTCCACACAATTGTATCTTCAAGTCCCTAGTGCAGTGCAAAGTTAGCACTCAATAAAGACTTTTTGAGTGAATGAATGAATGATGGCTGCCTACAAAAAGATGAAATTGTGTTTTTCAATGTTTTCACTAGTACACAAAGAAGAAAAGTGAACACTTAACTGCATGAGTACTGTGCTAGAGGCTACTGGGGGGACCTTAGTTGTCTTCTACAAGTTGCTGCCACTTTTTATCTTTCAAATTGAAATGTCGAATGAATAAGAAAGGATGAAAAGGGTGCTTCGAATTGATTAACACCTTCCACCTATATTATCAGTCCTCTAATTTCCCAAGAAAGTAGAGCACTGAAAAATCATGAAAGGTTGTTCACAGAGCACCAGAAACCCTGGCTGCCTGCTTTCCACGTGCTTTTGTAAAGTGTTCTTTAATTTCTGTAAGTTTTGCCCCTTAATTTTTTTTTTTTTAACTTCCAGGTGTTGGTAAATCATGCTTATTGCTACAGTTTACAGACAAGAGGTTTCAACCAGTGCATGACCTTACTATCGGTAAGTCTTATAAAAGAAATGAGAAGTATTCAAAAGTTTTGGGAAGTGGAGATGGAATATGCTTAGAGAGTCAGTTCTATTAGTGACGAGTCAAAATATCAGTGAACCTAGATTTGTTGCTGTTCAGAGTTTAGTCTCTATCACTTTTTAAAAATTGGACTATAGTAAAAATAATATTACCCAACTTTGTAAAAGTGGTTGCAGTGAAACAAGACATATTAATATTTAGGATTTTGATTGTATTTAATGATGAAACAAATGATTGAGAGATAATGCAGCACAGAGGTAAGAGCAGAGACTCTGGACCAGCTTGCCAGAGTTTGAATGGAGTCTCTGCCACCAACAAGCTGCATATCTCAGTTTCTTTATCTGTAAAATGAGAATAATAGTAGTACCCGTCTCACAAATATGAAGCATTGAAACAGTGCCTGGCAACATGGTAAGTGTTGTAGGGCAGGGATCCCTAACCCCCAGGCCACAGCCAGGTATAGTCCATGGCCTGTTAGGAACCAGGCCGCACAGTAGGAAGTGAGCAGCTGGTGAGAGCAAGGAAGCTTCATCTGTATTTGCAGCCGCTCCCCAGCGCTAACATCACCACCTCAGCTCCACCTCAGATCATCAGGCATTAGATTCTCATTGGAGCACTGGTCCCTGGTGCCAAAAAAGGTTGAGGACAGCTTCTCGAGGCTCACCTACAATTTCTAATCGAGAAAAACTACCATCAAGCATTTTTTAGTTTTCTCAATTATTTAAGTATTAGCTACCATTATTATTATTACTGTGATAGACAAACTGCCATCAAGTATTCTTTAGTTTTCTCAATTGTAAGGAACAAATGAGGCAGTTACTGGTAAGGAATAGTCAATAAATATTAGCTGTTATTAACTAATACTATTTAAATATCAGCTATCATTATTATTACTGTGGTAGAAAACTACCTGAGCATTCTTTAGTTTCCTCAATTTCGAAGAATAAATGAGACAGTTACTGGTAAGTAATAACTTATTATTGATATTGCTTATTAATATGCAAAAATATAAAATTAAAACAAGTGAAAAAATTGAAGCGAGTAGAATGTTTCAGTGTTCTTATTTGTTTAAAGAAATTGTATTTCTACCCTGAAAGCTAAGGAACTTAGCTTGATTATTCTTTGTCTGTAGCCCATTAACAATTAGAAATTAGTAAACTATGAAGAAATAAGGTAATTGGCAATCTGGTTAGACTTTACCACTGATAACTGGATGTATCTTTTTAGTCAGGGACTTCTTATTTTCTTTAGATATCATAAATTCACTAGCAGGTTAACTCTCATGTCTTGTGTATTTTTAAAATAACAAATGGAAGATAGAATTTATGAATCAAATAACTAGATCAATTAATAGTTTTCAGCGAAGCCATGTGTACTTTGTGGCTATATTAAAATTTTTCCCTGGTGGTGACTGAACAAGAATATTCAAATTCCATTTTATTTCAGTAGTTTTAAGTATACACAGTAATGATGGGTAGAAAGGGTTCAACTCTTTCTGGGCCTCATGACATAGTTTAACTTTGGTGAGCTCATTTTTATGTAGAATCTGTTCTTTGGCCATTAAGTCTGAACCTTGGTAGCCATCTCTTAGGCAGGACTCAGTCCTGAGACTACTGGCTAAACAGTTTTTAGTATAGCATACTAACCAAAAGTGTCTTCCTTTTCATCGAAGCTTTCATTTAATTTTCTAAATTGTTATGGCACACCTGATAAAGAGGATGGGCCTGAGTCTCTGTCAGAAATTGGCACAGGCTATACTTGTGGGGAAGAGATAAGGGAGTAGACCAAAGGGAGTTGTTTGGAAAACTGTAACTCACGTAACTGTACCAGCTGGCTTCTCTCTTGGTTTGCTGATGGTAGGCACGGGGAGATAGACGGCTAAAAGCAAAGCGAAACCAAGGGTCTCTACTCTCTCTGCATGAGTTAGCTGTAGGTCCTCTGTGGCTCTAGCCCCAGCCCCTGCCTACCGGGCCCACCGCGCCCACTGCTAGTCTAGCTCCTGAGCTTTGTAAACCCTGGTTTCTCTGTCCCCACAGCCTAAGGATGGTAGCAGCTTCCTGCTGTTAGCCAAGCTCTGCGTTGCTTTACCATCTTTTCTTTGGACTTCTCAGCTCGTCCTCACTGTAACAGTTCCCTCTGTTTTAAATACTTAAGTATGGTTCCTGTTTTTCTGGTTGGACCTCAACTGCTATACATCATGACACCCGTCGCAACATATTTTAGAGACATAAAGACAATTTAGCAGGTCATTAGCACTTTTTTTTAAAGGAACATTGGAATGTTTGTGAAAGTAGACATATGACAGTATCTTGATTCTGCTGCATACTTGCCTTTGCCTAATGAATAGAGAAAGGTGAAAAGTTATGGTTGGGTCATGACAAAGAAGTATTAAATGATAGAAAAGGGGAAATAAAAGACCATAAAAGGCAAGGAAAGACTCTGAAATATTCCTTACCCTTTGACTACTATCTCAGTGAGAATGGTTATATGAGTCAAAGCAGTTTATAAATAGCTTCCTGGCTACTATTACATTGAAATCGAGACTAGATAGAGCCTTGCTACTCAAAGGCTACTCAAGGGCTATTGCACTAGACCAGCAGCATCAGTCATGTGGGAGTCTGTTAAATCTACTGAATCGGATTCTGCATTTGAACAGGTGATTCATGTGAACATTAGTTTGAGAAGCATTGGAGCAATGGCTTTTAAATATTGATTACCTTGCTGGACATGAGTCTTTTATCGTTGACCTTACACATACCACATACATGTGAGCACACCTCCACATGCATCTTGGCCTCTCAGTCCCCTGACTTCCTCTCCTGTGATCTTGCTTCCCCTCTACCTCAGCTATTTACTCCCATAGTCGCTCCCAGGACCTTGTCATTACCAGTATCTGTACTACTCCAGAATTTCATTTTCATGTATGTGGCTATTTGACTATCCTTCCCATCATTCCAGCTCACACCTTCTGGTTCCTAACACTAACAATTTATTTGCCCTTCCCAAACCTATAATGTTTTGACCCTAGCATCTTTTCATTTTCACCCCTCTTGCGTTTTCAGTTCCCTCCTCACCCAGTTTTAATTCTAACCACTATAATCATCATTATAATCACTCCTGCATACACCCTCCACGTCCTTCTCTTCTCTCTTACTTCACCATACTCTGTGGCTAACTTGTAGGTTAAGTTCAGCTATCTACTCCATGCTTGCATGGAGAAAAACACAGTATCATGCTAACTAGTCTCATTAATTTAATTTCTTGAACACTAACTTTTAACTGTCCATTCATTCTCCTCTTTCCTGTATAACTATATTATACCTTCTTGCTCTGTAAGCACGTAGCACCATTTCTATGTTCATTCTCAGGTGATTACCTGGGTTTCTATTTCACTCAGAAAGTAGAGGCAAGTAGAAGAGCATTTTCACAGGTCTCCACCACCACATAGACCCACCTGCCTGCACTGTGCCCATAAACTGAGCCTTTTTGCTGCTGTGGATGAACCCCAAGTTGCTGGCCAACGTCTACTCAAAGAACGCAGCTTCAGCAGTTCTTTTTTATTCCAGCTGGCATTAATTTTTCTCTTTTCGATGGTAATCTTTGATGACTTTTCTTTTCTAGCTTTCAATCCTTTTCTCTCCTTTAAACAAAAGTCCTCAGAAAGAATTATCCACATTTTCTATCTCTAATTTTTCTCCACTCATTTTTGAACCCACTCCAACTAGGGTTCTCTCCTCTCATATACACATGTTCAGCTGCTTTCTCAACATCTCTTGTATATCTAATGGGCATCTCAAACTTAACGTGTCCTAAATAGCTCTTGATTTTTTTCCTCCCCAGTCTTCATAAGTGTACACGTACCCCAATACCCATCCTCTCACTTAGATTTATCTTTTTTCTTAACTTTTTATACAAGTAAATATAACTGAACATTGTCCCCCACCAGTATAAAGTCAAATCCATGACAACAGAGTTACCTGTTTGATACTCTGTCTCCAGCCCCTGGTACATATAAAGATTCTATAAATATTTGCTAAATTAGTATACTGTCTGGAGGGAAAGCTTCATAAAGCAACATTTAACATTACAGTGGTTAATGCATGCATTCCTTTAATGATGTTCAATTATGTTGTTTACAAATAATTCCAGTTACAGCCCACTAATTCCCACCACATTTATTTCACTACCTGCTAATGGACAGTTTGACTAACACTGATCTAGAGGATGGTCCATTTGTATGTTGATTCCACCTTCCTACCTATCTCTCTCACTTCCTTAAAGCAGTCAATCCGTAAGAAATGACTACTAGGAGTAAAAGTGTGCTTTGGGGAAAAGGTAATAGAATCGAAGCATATTTCTATCAGGCTTCCCGCAAGCTGTCAGTTAAAAATATACCTCATTTATTTGGGGGTTCAATTTTCTGATAACTTGAGTTGCCTGTAAAAATATTGCCAAGAACAAAGAGGAACACTTTAAAAGACCTCTTGTGAACATCTAATTTAGATTTTACAAAGTCTATGTACATGAATTTTAAAATGTAAATACGTTTTCCTGACAGGATGTGATCATTATGAAAATACTGTAAAAAAACAGAGAAAGTTAAATTTCCTATATAACTTTCCTTTGGCCCTCTAGCAACCGCTATAGAGAATTTGGTGTGTGTATTGCCTTCTAGAAGACTTAAACAATAGTCATAAACACAAGCTGGTCTGATTTGCACTTCTTCCACCGATGTACTAAAGTCCCTGTTTCTCCTCACCCTTGATTCTACTGCAGTTTATTAATGTTCTTAATATTTGTGAATTGGAGAGGGAAAAATGGTTAATTTGCTTCTCAGTTCCTTATTTTTTAGGGAGGCTGGCATTTTTTATATGTTTAAGAACCACTTCTACATCTTCTCTTTGAATTACCTGTTTATGTCTTTGCCCCTTCTACTACTGGTTTACTTCTGTCAGATTCATTGATTTTTCTTTTTTTTTTAATGGCTTTCAAGGCTACTGAGAAAGGCTCCCCAGTACAAAAATTATGTATTCTCTTAAATATTCTTCTCATGCTATAAATTTGTACTCCATCTGGTATATGATTGTGTATATGATTTTCTTTAATCCCTATATAACTTGCAACCCCACACTATTAATTAAATAAGCCATTCATTCTTCCCTCTTTGAACTATCACCTTTGTCATCTGCTGAATCTCCATATGTAAGCAAGCCTGTTTGGAGACTCACAAATCTATTCTATGCATGCTTCTTTGCTATTTCATGAGGCCGGATCACACTGTGGTATTTATAGTAACTTTGCAGAGTATTTGATATGTGATTGACATTTTTCCTTTTCTAAGTTTTCTTGATTATTCTTGTACACTTGTCCTTCCACATGAACTTTAGTCTCATCTGCAAAATTTGCAAAATTTTTGGTGAGACTTTTAAAATTTGATAAGAATTTTATTAACTTTATATGTTAATTTAGAGATAATTTGTTTTTATTGTATTGTATTGAGATTACTAATCTTTTTATATACACAATATGTGTTTTTAGTCCAACTTTTTAAGATTTTATCATTTTCATACAGGCATTGTGCTTTTCTTGTTTGTTCTGGTATATATATTTTGTTCCTATTATGAATAGTTTTTTTGCCCCATCATTGTTAAATTAACTATTTTTGCATGTTCTAGGTAGCTTAGTCTTATCTGAAAGTTATACTTTTTTCCTTAGCTAATATTTATACCTTTTAGTTTTGTTTTTATAAGTTATGACCAAAATCTCTAGAATAATTTACAAGTTGAGGGCATTGTGATCTTTTTCTCAGAGTAATTTGAACTTCTCTGTTTCACCTTTAAGTATGGTATTTGCTGTTTATTTTTCATAGAAAATTAAAGAAATTCTTTTTTTATATGTAGTTTTCCCTTTATTTCTAGAATTAAGAAAATCTTACTCCCACGGGTCTTAGTTTTGAACTTCTGCAGTGTCTAGGTTCCAGGAACAGGTCCCTGTGTTCCCATGCTGGTCTGAGGAGGGCTCAGCCTGACTACTTGCTTCATACCCCAGCTCTGCTCTCTACGTTGGCATCTCCATCTAGAGGAAGGAGCCACATTTTGCCTTTGCACCTCCACAGTCACCTGGCTCTTACATGTGGCCCTTTCTCACGGGGTCTGTGAGTGGCAGTTTAGAAATTTTGGTGTACAATATGGAATAATAATAACTCACATACTGAACACTTACTGTGTGCCAGGCACTGTTCCATATTTTATTTAAGAATCCTTTTAATCTTGAAAAAAAATCTTATGTAATTGGGTATCATTAATACTACTTTACAGATAAAAAAACTAAGACATAAATTTTAATAACTTGCCCAGGGTAACACAGTTAGTAGGTACTGATTACTGAATGTTCAATAAATGATTACAATGCAAGGTAGTAAGTACTTATGCAAGGATGATAATGGTCTAGAGACAATTAGAACTTGTATATTTACATTCTGAATATTTTGTTCTGGAAGGTTGGAATTGAATTACATATCTGAAGAAATAAGCATCACTCCCTGACAAGGTCAGATATATGAGACCTTGATTTTGACTCCACAGACAATTTCTTTGGCAGACAGATTGTCGTAATTGAAAATGTATCTGGGAAGACAGCCTCAAAGGCATAGGGGATGATGGTTTATGCTATTAAAAAAGAAAAGGCTAAGGAAGCTTTTCTAAATGGGATTCTCAAGCATATACATATATTTAAGGAAAAAAATTTTTGAAAAATTATAGTTCAGAAGAGAAATGAGGTTTTTGGTTTTTTTATTTGTTTCTGAAACTTTAAGGACACTTTAGGTATCAATATTTTTTTTTGTCACATAACATAGAAAGGGAAAACCTGCAGTGGGCCCAGTTAAGAATGAAAAAGTAAATGAGAAAGAGTTGTTGCTGAAGCTGAAATTGAATTCTGTCTGTTTTTGTTTCATTTGATTTGGTATTGACTATGCCTCTACGATGGAATAAGTATTAAAATGTAGAATAAAACCTACTTCAAGTTACACATCATGGGTGGATAAATTACCTTTCTATTTCACCCTACTAATCTCAGTTGGGGGAAGTGTAGGAGATGCTGAAATGGAATTCTGTCACTGGGCGGTGTGCCCTTTCCCTGGGCGACCAGAGATTGTTTTTCTGCCAGGAAGACATCTGGTTTCTGGGGACCATGTGTGTCTTCCCTTCATCCTGACTCTGATCTAAATACTGATAGAAACCACTCCAAGCAGTAATGATTTGGTATGATATAAGTGATAGACTTTTAGAGTTTTCTTCACAGCTGTTCGCTGTTCTGAAATCATCCCCTTTTTCTCCTTCTATTTTAATGATTGAATGAATACTTTAAAGAGATGAGAAATGCAAGAGGAAAAGCCAATACAAGTGTAAAGCTTGTATTCCCTTTATCGTGCAATCATAATCACAAGTCGAAAAATGATGCAGGATAGCTCATTTCAACATGTGTTGGATGTTGATGATGAACATAGTGAAGATTTGGGAACCACTTAAATTTGTAGCATAAAGTACCAACTTAGTAAAGTGTGTGTATCTATCCATACATACGCATACCCTCCCCACACACACACAAATATGCAGCCATCAAAAATACTAATGGTATAGTTTTATATATTTATTGATTGGCAAAGGCATTCGTTATATGGAATATGTTTATGACATGCTGACTGAAAAGCCAATTGCAAAATAGCGTTTATATGTACTTATTTTTGTAAAATCGTTTACTTATTTCTGTACGTGTATTCATGGAGCAGTGTCTGGAAGTATATTTAAACAGTGATTATTTATAGCGGATGGATATGGAGATTTCTTTCTTAGTTGATAGCCCATACTGAGAACCAAGACTATGATGTTGAAATTCATCTGTCCCTTTTTAGTGATTTTTTTTATATTAACGAACCTGTAAAACATGAAGATCACAGTTGGTTTCTTGACTATACTAGACTCAGATATTTATCTTAGTGTTCTGATTATGTCCATAGTTTATGTCTTAGTAGTGCTTCTGCCTTAGATTATATGTTTTCTAAGGACCTGGCATAGCATGTCCTGGAAATAGATATCCTTTTTTTTATCCTTAAATGTGAAATATTGTCCCACTAGATTGTATAACAAATCATTTTTTACTCTATTCAGGTGTAGAGTTCGGTGCTCGAATGATAACTATCGATGGGAAACAAATAAAACTTCAGATATGGGATACGGTAAGTATAACAAAAGTATATTGTATGTTTTGTTTTAATGTTATTTTATGCCTGTTATGGTTTGTTAGACACTAACACCCCCCCGCAGCCATGAGATGAAATATGGTACCAGAAAAGATTCGTTTTTCCTATGCAGGGTTTTCAACAGGTGTACCCCAGGTGTTGGTGAACATATCTGAGTGAATGCTGAAGCTAAATGGAAATGCTCTAGAAACTACGTTTTTAAGGAAAACAAGCAGCGTGTCTAAAGCACACATGTGAAGTAAAATAAGAATTTCAATACCATAGAGTCACTTGAGCTGACCGTTTATTAATGTATTCTAAAAGTTTGATTTAGTCCCAACCACTTGAAGCCACCTTGCTCCCAGTCCTGATTCTCTCATTTATGTTCATTGAGTACCTGTTACATGCTATATCATTTTTAATGGCAGTTTCTCATCTGAACCACAGAATATAATTTGAGTAACGATTTTCTCTATTCTCCCATTTTAGATGCATAAAAGAGAAGTTACTTTATTATATACAGTGGATGTCTTAAGGTAGCCGTTCTCAAACTTTTTGGTCTCAGAATCCCTTTATATTGTTAAAAATTAATAAAGACCCCAAAGAGCCTTTGCTTATGTGGCTTATAGCTGTCAATATTTATCATATTAGAAACTAAAACTAAGAAATTTTTTAAATATTTAGTTATTCATTTAGAAATAGCCATAATAATCTCATATATTGGACTAAACAATGCAATTTTTATGGAAATTAACTTTTTCAAAAAAAAAAAACCTATTTTTTTAGTGAAAGGAGTGTCATTTGTTATATTTTGAAAAGTCTCTTTACTGTTTGCTTAATAGAAGACAGCTGGATTCTCATATCTACTTCTGTACTGAGTTCTATGTGTGTTGTTTAGTTGAAGCATATGAAGAAAATACAACCTCACACAACAAATAGGTAGTTGGGAAACAGAGGACCTCATAGACCCTGAAAAAGTCTCAGGGAAGTCCAGGAGTCTTGGGATCACGTTTTGAGAACCACTGCCTTGGGGCTGTTAGGACTTAATTCTTCATGGAACCCCAGTTGAGAAAAACCAAAAAGGTCTCCTGTTATGAAAAAGACCATATTCTTTAAACTAGTAATTGTAAACTGTGGGGCATTTTATCATCATATACCCCAAGTCATTTTTCCTCTAGCTACTCAGTCTTCATTTCTCACCTGTCACCTATAAGGGAAGGAAGGAGCCTTAGAGAATATTCATTCTCACAGATCACATTCCCAAGGAGACCAAGCAAAATGCCAAAGGCCATTGTGAGACTTCCTTATACTTCCTATATATCACATAATTGTCCCTAAAATGGAAAACCCTAGATTTCTCTCTTGCTCTATCCCAGATTCTCTCAGGCAACATGATTTCAAAACAGCACAGAAGAAAGATAAAATATGCAAAATCTCTTCTTTCCTAGAGATTTAAAATGAATATTCTCCAACCAAAAAGAAGTATTTTTCTACTCCTTAAGAGTTTCTCTTCTTTTGAAAACCGATTGTTTTACACAAACTGGATTGCTTTCTTAGCTAATAAACTTCTGCAGCACACATCCTTCAGCATAGCATAGTACAAACCAAACTGCTTGATGTTCTTTAACAAAGTGGTTTTTAATTCCTGTATTTTGCATAAATACTTGCTTTGCTTGAAGTACTTTTTCCCCCTTTTACATTTACGACCAGCTCAGATGTCGACTCTTGTGGAACTTTCTGACCCTCATGAGACAGCTGATTCTCCCCGTAATATTTTATGTATATTCCTGGCATAGCTCTGATGCTGTTGTCAGTTTTTTTGTTCACATATCTAACCTTCTCAGAATAAGCATCATGAGGGAAAGAACCATCTATCTATATCTTATTCAACTTTGTATCTTGTATTCTCAGTTTACTGACTGATACGATGTTTGGTAAATTTTATTGGATGAATCAGTAGGATCATTGGATGTGTTCGGAGACAGCATCTACTAAAAATACATGGTTTCAAAAGGAAGGACTACTATAGTAATGAAAATTATGTGATATTTTAGGCACAAATCACCTAATTGTAGTTTATTCAATTGTCATTCTATCCTTAGTGTTCCCTTAAATAATAAGCCCCCCCACCCCGCTTTTCGAAACTTGAACAAGCCATTAGTTCTTCCCCAGTTTTTCTTTTGTAGTTTGACTAGCTCTGCCTTTTTTGATAGGAGCCTTTTTTTCTTAGCATATGAGTGGATTGTTTTCTACCGCAATGATCTATAGCTGTTACTTTTGCTGAACAGTATAAAGGGGAAAAAGAAAAAGAACTCTTGTTCACACTTCCGCTAGAAGAGCAGGGGGTAATTTTCTTTCCTCTGTACATGAAAGGGAGACACTGTGGTGCCTTTGAAGACATTATTATGACCCTCACCCCCCCAAAAAAGAATAAGATTTTCAGGTCTTCAGTTGGAGGATGCTAGGACCCAATGGCCTGTCCAGAGTTTTATGAATGTTCAAAAAACTCTGTTAACCTAATACTTTTGAAAGTTGTTCTTGAGTCTCTGCCCTGTAGGTTTTCCTCTTATTATTGGTTTTCTTCTTCCATATCTAATTTCCAAACTGTTTAATACACATTATCTGACACACATTAAGATTGGTTCCACATTTAGTTTATTTATATCTGAATTAACCTTAGTTTCCTGTATCATTAATGTTTTGCAGTGTATCTATACATTGGAAAGCAAGCTATGTTTTTAGCAAGGGTCATGTCCCTGGCCCTGGACATTTACAAAACCATTCATTCTAGAGTCCTTCAGGGAAAATTTTGCCAAATGTTATGGTTTGTTTTGTCAGTCTTAAAGAAATTAATTTTTTTCCCAATGACTAAGTGTCATTATCTCAGTAAATTTGTCATTCATAATGCATCCATTTCCATTCACAAAAATAAAAATATTTTCCTTGCAAAATATCCACATCCACCATCTTTGCTTTTTTTTGAAAATAGTATGTCTAGCTGCTAGCCAATAGCTTCTGGAGGCCTTACTGAAAGAATGATAACAGCATATCAGTGCCTCCCTTAAAGCACTTTCCCTTGGCCCTGTGTCACTTGTTTTCTTTTATCAGGAGTCACATGTGTGATGTTCTTCATCTCTGTCCCAGTAAGTCAAAGAAAAACATCAGTCGCACCCAGTTCCTATTCACTGACTGATGGAAGACAGGTGTAAGAAGTGGGTTCTCATTATTAGACCTTCATCTAGCCTTTACTCACCATCTTTTTCTGTTGCTTCTTGTCTTTTGCCTTTTGTCGATTTCAGTTGCCTTCCTAGCGCATCCAAATAAATCTTATTCTTCCCAAAAATGTGTAGTATAGATGTTTTAAGTCCATACATCTGCTCAACTTCTCTAGAAATAGTTTTATTTTAGATTTACAAACATTATTTTCATTAAATAGGATTTAGTGAGTATGTAAAATATCATGTTAAACATACATGCTAAAAGTGCCTTTTCAGCCAATCACAGGCATCTTTTGGTCCTGTGTAAATAAATATGTCCATTTACACCCAACTCTTTACCTCCCCAAAATGAATATTTTTATGTATCAAAGGAGCCGTAAGGACCAATGACCACAATTCAGTGGGGCTGCGGAAGAGTCCTGGAACCAGCACTGGGAAACGGTAGTGCCTCTGCTAATCCTCTGCTCCCATCCCCCCAGCCCCAGAAATTGAGAGGCTTTTAGAGTCCCAACTGTTGGTTTTTCATCAGCCTTTTCCTAAACAACCACAGAGACAGGAACCGATCTCAGGCATTTATTTCATTCTACTCTAATGTTCACCTCCTACCTGTGGTCTCTAGGTATTCTCTTCTATGGCAGCATTAAAAGAATCTGAAGTCAGCAGACCTCTCTTCTTGTCTTTTTTTCAAAGTAAATGTTCTTAAATTTTTGAAAGCATTCAGCATCTGCTGTTCTTTCTAGATATTTACAACCCTTGTTTCTCTTCTAAGGATCTACTTTAGTTTCTATAGGAGACTCCCTTTAAAAAGACCTAGAATTATAGTCCAGGTTGACTTTTTCTCCATCCTCATTGTGGACACTGAGGCAGCCTAAAAAGTCACTTTGATTTTTACTGATCTGTTTTTTAAAACAAGTCTTGTTAATGCATTTAGAATTTAGTGCATGACATTTTCATTTTCCTTGTTGATCACAGTTCCTTCATCACTGGCCTAGATTTTAAGTTGAAAGTACCTGAGATTTCTCGCTGGGGCACTAGACAACTTACTTGGCTACTTAGAAATTCTTTTTTTTTCTTATTTTTGGTCGTTGGCTAGGTTTTGATAGCTGCAGTTGTTAGATAAATGACTGAAAATGAAAGTAAGAGGTATTACTGTAATATTGATTCTCACAGCTCTTAATTTTCTAACTTTATTGGTTCTTTGGGATCAATTAAGATAACATTTTAGTGCCTGCTATAAATATACTTCAGTATTCTGAGTTAGACTACTGCTAAAGGAGAACTAAAGAGGGAAAAAGATAAGCATTTGAGCAATGTGTTCGTTTTATTTAATCAGTAGTATTAGAACCAAATGATCACATGAAAATGCTTTTGGAATTGTGAGAAAAGGATGACTATGGGCTGTGGCAGAGGCTTTGTGAGAGAATCGGGGAGCTCCAACTGGTTATCAAAGGGGATAGAAATTGGATAGATGGAAGGAGAAGAAAATAGTTTTTCAAAGAGAGTTAACCAGGTACAAAAGTAGGAATATTCAGAATACAGAGGACATCAGTAGACAAAAAAATCAGTTGTGCGAATAAGACTTTTATTGACTAAGAAGATAAAATTCTAAAGAAACAAATATATCAAATTTCTAAGAGCTGAGGACTTAAATTTACGGTATTTAGAAGGTCTTAAGCAGTAGCTTATGTGTGTAAAGTACGTTAGAGGTAACAAGAGAGGAAGAAGAGTTAAGTTGCCAGCCTGGTTAACTATAAGAATTGTTTACAATGGAACAACTCAGGCACATGGGGAAGCCAATTTGGGAGAATCTTAATCTAGCCAATGGAAGTAAATTTTAAAGATAAGGGGCAAAGAATCAAGTTTATTTGATTTAGCAACTCTCACATGGAAAATAAAGGTCTGTAAGGTTTCTTATTCACAAATGTTCTGTGACTGATTTCAGTACTAAGCATCACTAAAAATGAGCTTGCCCATTATCTCTCATGGCTGACTTGCTCCATTCTATTTCTTTGTATATCTGGGTATCTTGCTGGATCCCCCCCGCCCCCAAAATCAACAGCTGTATTGCGAGCAGATAAGCTCATGGTCCACTCTGGCCATCCCAGCCAGGTTTTTCTGGTGCTATTTACTTAGCCTAAGTCATCCTTGTTTCATTAAATACATTTTTCTTTACACTCTCAGCTACTATTAGGAATTCCTTACTATAAGGAACTCTGTATCTTGTTCAGTTTCAAGCTTCTGAAATCTTTAAGGAAACACTTTATAGTGAGGAGGATCAAAAATAACATCTGTTTCCTAAGTTAACATTCTTTTTCATTTAAAACAATATAGGTCAGTCACAGTTTGGACAAGTTTATATTAAAGTGCTTTTGAAAAACTTGATTACTTTGTTTTAATAAGATCAAGATAATTAATCATTGGGCTAGCTTTTATGCCTTTAGCTGTTGTTTGTTTGTATGTAGTTGGAAAAGCCATAATAAAACACTTATTTGAGCAAGATTTATTTCAAGACTACCAGTACTGTTAACAGAGACTAGGCCAGAGTGTGGGATGTTTTTCCTACAAGTCAAGTCTCAAAAATTTAGAAACTATTCTGAGTACTGACCTTCACTTATTATGTAGTTAGAGATTTTTAATATGCATAGCTACATTCATAGACCTCATTGGAATTTGTGTTTATTTGTTGTTTTTCTTTGATTTTATAATGGGCAAAATTCAGATTCGATGGATTTAAAATAAAATGATGCATTAAATATGTTATTTGCAACATGTTTGCAACATGTTTGTTCTTGGAAGGAATGGGAATGGTATATAGATATGTGCTTTTTTCCTCGCAAGATTGTTTTAAAAGACTTTACCTTTGCTTCGTTTTAGGCAAGGGAAACACAGGAGCGCCAAATGTGATTTTTCTTTAGCATGTGTAATTCACAGTGAAATTAATGTGTTAAAAATCTAGACCTTAGTTTTCCCATGCTAAGCAGTTAAAGAAGAAATTTCCATGATGCTTCCATTTTGAACTTGGATTTGAAAGGACTTTTTTTTTTAAGATACATCCCAATAAACTATATAAAAATATTTTTAATTTTATGCTTCCAACTAGTATTACCTAGTGTTTTAGCCTTAATCTTTGTGAAGTGAGTTGGCTATTTTTACAGCCCTTTTCTGTGATGACTTTCTCAGTATCTAATTTAGCATAAGACATTATTCTAAGTGCCAAAATTGCTCATGAATTACCAAGAGAGGGTCTTATCTTTAGTTTCCACATACAAGTTATTTTTACTGCTAAGGTTTACTGATGTCCACTTATTTAGGTGGATGGAGTAATGACCATTTTGTGCATTTGACCTAAGACATTAGAATTCATTCTTTCACTCAACAGACTTCTTTGAATGCCTGCTGTGTACCAGACCCAGTGCTAGTCACTGGGGGTAGGAGGCACGGGAGGGAGGGAGTGTAATGGAGGCGCTAACAAGAACAAGAAGTTATAGTGCTGAGTGTTAGAACAGGGCAGAACCTGAGCTGTCTGTGTGTGTTCAGGTAAGAAGGGCTGAATATTTACATTGGAAGATCAGAATTTAGAAGATGCAAACATGAGTATGTTTCAAGAAAGTAGGTTTTACATACAAAAATCGTGAAATCTGGCTTTATGTTTATTTAATTTACATGCTTATTTCTTTCTCAAAGGTGGGAAAGAAGTGATTAAAAATGAAAAAGTATTTTTGATAAGAACCGTCTCAGTTTTAAACTCAAAGGCGGTAGGTATATCCCTTAGCCTTTCTTAAACAGAACATTAGTGCCACTAGTAAAAGAGAAATTAACTGATTTTGCATAATCTCTGAAGTCTGTTTTTACAAGTGGATATAAAGATGACTTTTACATCCTGTTGCCTTTTGACATCATTATATATCAAATGCAGAGAAAATTGATTAAGTGTGGAGAAAAATTATATAAATTAAATTCAGAACCATTTTCTGTTTTTCATAATAAAATGATTGCTCAAAGAATTCCATTTGATGACTGCTGAAAGCTCACTGCAGTTTATGATATAACTGATAAAATCTGCATCCTTGGCCTTCCAACAACCTTTACACCAGCAGATGGTGGGCGTAAAGATGTCATTCATCATTTATTTACAATGGACTTTATTTATTCTAGTGTCAACAGCTGCCCCAGGGAGTGGGTTATTGAATTCAAATGTGAGGCTCTGGGTTATTTGCTTCCTTTCAAATTTGTCTTCAGAGCTTAGTTGCTAGGAGTCCATTCTGTGCTCTAATAATGATTCATGTATTGTGAAGCCATTCAGTAAATTGTGTTGTCAGGGATTGCCAGAAAAGGTTTAGAGGTCTTGTTGGGGAGGGTTTTGGGGGAATGACATGAACATCTGGTTGATTTGAGCAATAGTGGTATTATGTGACTTTTTCCTAGATGGCGAAGTAAGGTTTTCTTCTTTTCCTTTATGCACTCATTCCTTACCTGCTTATATTATGCATATGAATAATAAAAAATGTAGAGGACAGTTTATTAAAGGAAACTCTCAACCTTTTCTTTCCTCACAGGCAGGGCAGGAGTCCTTTCGTTCCATCACAAGGTCATATTACAGAGGTGCAGCAGGGGCTTTACTAGTGTATGATATTACAAGGTGAGAACTTGGAAATTTTTCAGTTCAGTGGTCAATGCAGAGAATTTTTCTAAATAAGTATGGTTACCAGTAATAAAAGTGTAGGTTCGCCTTCATGCCCTGGCTATTTGACTTTAAAACGTGTGTCTTGAATTAAATATAAATTTACTCCAGAAAATTGCAACTAAATTATTTTCTTACGTGAGTAAGTACCCAAAGTTGATCAATTCGGTAATAGTATTTATACATTGGAATTTTATGAAATGATGCTACATTAAATTTCTAAACTGAACTGTACTCAATGGACTCTAAATCCAGATACAGTACTTGAAATCTGTTTTCATTACATAAATGGATATGGCTAAAAATAGTTACCTTGAATGGAATATATACTGTTCGTTATACATTGCTGGGGGATATCCTTTGACAGTAGTAATCAAATGATCATTTATGTTTAGGAGAGATACGTTCAACCACTTGACGACCTGGTTAGAAGATGCCCGCCAGCATTCCAATTCCAACATGGTCATTATGCTTATTGGAAATAAAAGGTAAAAAGACTGATTTAAAACGTTTTTGCATTAACGATGACGACTGTGGGTAGCTATTTATGTGATAACTGTTAAAGCGCTGATCTGGTACATTTGTCCAAATGTCAGTTATTGGTTTCTTAAATTACAAAATTTTGAAAATCCTAAGACGTTTCTTTTGGTTTTTAAAATACATAGATAATAAGCTTTGTTGGAAATTATTATTATTTCAAATAGTTTTTTTTCTAGAAGGTATACTTTAAAGAATAACCTGAAAGAGTTTTATCTGATTAGTAATTTAAAATAAAACCCATTGATTATTTGGGGGATAAGTCAACTGTTAAATATTGTCCAAATTGTTCTAAATAGTTGGCAGGAGAAATAAGTATCTGTGCAGAACTCAGAAAAATATTTCTTCATGATTTAATGTACATTCTGTGACTTAATGTAATATGTAGGTATCCCACGTATTTCTCCTTAAAATCCTGAAACATGTTAAATATTGATCAGTAGATATCACAGTACTTTTAAACTTACCTGTAAGGCCTTATATCAGTGTCATCCTAATGGTGTTTTTCAATTTTATTTTACTTTATATTTCTAGGAAGCGTTATCTGCAGTGAATGTCTTTTGTGCTCTACATTGTAAATGGTAATACATGGGAAAACAGTTTTTTGTTCATGGTTTCTATAAACTTGCAAGAGTGCCACTAATTTTAGTAGAAAATTACAGTGGTAACAAATAAAATTAGCATTTCTAAAATGCTAGACACCATTCATTCTTTATTTAGGTTTATAAAATAACATTAAAAATAATGTTTGTAGAATGGTAAAATCATGACTCTCATATGATAATGAACTCATGTCAGAGCTTTTATTTATCTCATTAATTAATGAGGGAACCGGTAAAATATTACAGTGATTTAAAAGAGAACTCAAAGTACCACAGTTATAATCAAATAAGTAATGCTGAAATAAATTTACAAATGGATGTGAAACTAAACAATATCCATGGGATAATTGTATTCCATGGGGCACAGTCTGCATTTGTATGGACCAGAATTATTTACATTATTGTCTGTTTTCCAGAAGTTAATTGCTGTCTCTACAGTCTTTGAAAATTTGTGAGATGCAGTTAAAGCAGTGCTTAGAGGGAGAGTATAACACTAAACACAATAGGAAGAAGTTTCAAATCAATAACTTAAACATTCACCTTAAAATGAAAACTAGACATAAGAGCAAATTAAACCCAAGGTAAGCAAAAAGGAGGTAATAAGAAAACCAATGAAACCAAAAGCTAGTTCTTGAGAAGATAAATAAAATAGATACTGATATGAAAAAAGGAGACACATTACCAGCTTTAGAAATGAGTAATATTACTACACATCCTTCAGATACTATAGAGATAATAAGAGAATATTGTAAACAAAATAAATAAATGGATCAGGGAACTGTTGGTCAAAGGGTACAAACTTGCAGTTAGAATATGAATAAGTTTTGGAGACCTTATTCACAGCATTATGATTATGGTTATCAAGACTATTTTATACATCCACATTGCTAAGAGACTAGATAGTAAATGTTCACAGCACAGATGGAAATGTAAATTATGTGACGTGATGGAGATGTTAGCTATGGTGGTAAGCATACTGTGTTAGTTATGTAAATGTATCAAATCAATTGCTTGTACACCTTAAATTTATACAAGATTTTATGTCAGTTATATCTCAATAAAAAATTAATGATCCCTAACAATTTTAAAAATACTATTTTCTTCACAACTCTTTGATCCCTCCATTCTAAACTATAGTTACCACGGTCTTCCTAAAATTCCTATGTTAGATAACTACTTTCTTATTTTTAGAGTCCTGAAGTCGAAAAAATAAAAATCCAAATAAATGGAGAGATAGAGATAGCCTGTGTTCATGGGTAAGAAAACTAAATATTTTTAAGATGGCACTTCTTTCCGAATTGATCTAAGGATTCATTGTAATCTCAATCAAAATTCTTCAGTTTTTTTTTTTAGGAGATAGAAATTAAGCTGATTTTAAAATTTATATGAAAATGCCAATGTCATAGAATAGCCAAATTTAGAGGATTTGGTTTCATTAATACTGATTTTAAGGTTTATTATAAAGCTACTATAATCAACTTAGTCTGATAATGGCATAGGTAGACAGACCAGTGAAACAGAGAAATCCAGAAGTAAATCCGTACATATATGGTCAATTAATTTTTTGACGAAGATCCTAAGGCAGTTCAGTGGGGGAAAGGATAATCTTTTCATCAGATGATGTTGGAACAATTGACTAGCCATGTGCAAAAAACAATCTTGACCCTTACCTCACACTACACACAGAAATTAACTGAAAGTGGATCATAGACCTAAATGTAAGAGCTAAAAGTATAAAAATATTCTCGAAGAAAATGTAAAGTTTTAGTGACTCCGGTTTTTTTTCAAGCATTTCTTAAATAGGACAGGAGAAAGCATAAAAGTGAAAAAATCGATAAATTGTACTTCAACAAAATTTAAAACTTTTGCTCTTCAAAAGACAGTTCCAAAAATGAAATGGCAAGGTACAGACTAGGAGAAAGTATTTGAAGAACATATATCCAACAAAAGATTTGAATCTAGAATAAATATAGAATTTTTACAATTCGTTAATAAAAAGGCAATCCAGTTTTTATATTTTATTTTTATTTTTCTCTGTTCAAACACACATTAAGTGTTCTTTTTTCTTTTTTTTTAATTAATTATTTTTTACGGCGACATTGGTTAACAAAACCCGGTAAGATTCAGCTGTATATTTTAACAGTAAGGCATATATATATTTACATTGTATGTTCACTTCCCATTGTTAGATTTCTTTCTCTTACCACATATTTGACCCCTTTTACCCCATCTGACTCATCCGTCCCCTCTGATAACTACTAATCTATTGTCCATGTCCATGAGTCTCTGTTTATTTGTCTTGTTCATTTGTTGCTTTAAGGTTTATATCCCACATATAAGTGATATCATGTGATTTTCAACTATTTCTCTCTGGCTTATTGTGCTTAGCATGATTATCTTGAGGTCCATCCATATTATCGCAAATGGCAGTATTTCATCTCTTCTTATGGCTGAGTCATATTCCATTATATATATGTACCACAGCTTCTTTAGCCAATCATCTATTGTAGGACACTTCGGTTGCTTCCATGTCCTGGCCACTGTGAATAATGCTGGTATGAACATTGATGTGCAAACATCTTTTCAGATATAAGTTTTCAAGTCTTTGGGGTAAAGACCCAGTAGTGGGATTGCTGGATCATATGGTAGATCAATTCTTAGTTTTTTGAGGAACCTCCATACTGTTTTTCATAGTGGCTCTACCAATTTGCAGTCCCACCAGCGGTGTATGAGGGTTCCTTTTTCTCTGCATTCTCTCCAACCTTTATTACTTGTCCTGTTGCTTATAC